TTATATGGGGAATTTTATCACTTCTTACCAGCGGAACAGCGCCATCTCTGTGGAAAATGGTCGTACAAGTCCTCTCATGATCTCAAAGCACAAGAAATGAGTAATAGTTTTCACCAACAAATTCCTACAGATGTCGCCCCGCCAATGGTGGATGAACCAGATTTTCGGTGTGGAAATTTTCGAGTGACATTTTGTTATTTTTAGTAATAGTAACATTATGTAGAAATAGTATATAGCACCATTATTGATATTTTCAATTAAATGTGTATTTTGCCATTCCAATGTGTATTCAAACATTCCTAAGTGGATTTCCCATCAACCCATACAATTGAAGGCTGCTTTCCCTCTGGTGGTGAGTGCTGTCATAAATAGCATGGAACACCTAATTAACAAAGTAACAGAGTCATGGATTTTTTTTAAAGGTTTGCTGAATACTATCGGGCTGAATGGGAATTTGAGAGTGAGAGATTAAATTAGGAAATTGTTTTGTAAATCTTGAACTTATACGATGAACTCGGAGCATGAAAATGTTTTAACGCATCTGTACTAACACTGTTAGTGTAACAGAAATCTTTAAAAAAAATTTGAAAAAAAATCCAAATTCTGAGGCTTTGACCTTTGTTTCAACGATTGAAGTCTAATACTATGATTTTTTTTTCAGATTTGTGACTTTTAAAAAAACACAAAATTGATTTATTTTTGGACCTGCCTATCGACCCATCAGCTCATGAACCGGGGACCAACGGTTTTACTTGCCTGCCTCAGAACATCCCGGCGACGCCGACTGGGATTGAATCCAGGCCTGCTGGGGTAAGAGGTAATCACGCTTACCACTACACAACAGGCGCCACTGACACAGAATTGTAATTCTCAAACATGGGATTTTGATGAAGAAAAATCTGAATTTATCCACCTATGGTAAGATCTGACCATTCTTACGAATTGATTTCATATATCGTATAATGGGTTTCGGACCTCAAAGGCCACTCTCCCTAATTGAGGATCGGGGGACACACACAGGGGAATTTTAACTACCCTCTCGGGGGAATCACATCTACCCTCCTGGGAGAATTTCATTACCTTCTCGGGGGAATTTTATCTTCCCTCTCGGGGAAATTTCATCTACCCTCTCAGAGGAATCGCATCTACCCTCTCAGGGAGAATTTCATCCAATCTCTCGGGGAAATTTCATCTACCCGCTCTCCATCTACCCTCTTGGTAGTAACTCATTACCCTCTAGGGGGAGTTTCATCGTCCCTCTCGGAGGAATTTCAACTACCCTCTCTGGGGAACCGCATCTGCCCTTTCGAAGTAATTTCATCCAATCTCTCAGGGGAATTTCATCTACCGTCTCGAGGGAATTTCATCCACCCTCTCGGGGGAATTTCATCTACCTTCTTGAGGGAATTTAATCAGCCGTGTCGGTGGAATTTCTACCCTCTCTAGGAGAATCGCGTCTACCTTCTCGGGGGAATTTCAACTACCCTCTCGGGGAATTCGCATCCACCCTCTCAGGGGGAATTTCATCAAGTCTCTCGAGGGAATTTCATCTACCTTCTCGAAGAAATTTCATCTACCATCTTGGGGGAATTTCATCTACCCTCTCGAGTGAATTTCATCTACCCTCGTGGGAGAATTTCATCTTCCCTCTTGGGGGAATTTCATCTTCCCTCTTGGGGGAATTTCATCCACCCTCTTGGGGGAATTTCATCTACCCTCTTGATGGAATTTAATCAACCGTCTTAGAGGAATTTCTATCCTCTCTAGGGGAATCACATCTACCCTCTTGGGAGTATTTCACTACCTTTTCGGGGGAATTTTATCTTCCCTCTCGGGGGAATTTCATCTTCTCTCTCGGGGGAATTTCATCAACCCTCTCGGGTGAATTTCATCTACCCTCTCGGGGGAATTTCATCCACCCTCTCGGGGGACTTTTATCTAGCCTTTCGGGGGACTTTTATCTACCCTCTCGAGGGAATTTCTACCTTCTCGAAGGGAATCGCATCTACCCTCTCGAGGGAATTTCATCTACCCTCTCGGAGAATTTCAACAACCCTCTCGGGGGAAATTCATCTACCCTCTTGGGGGAATTTCATCAACCCTCTCGGGGGAATTTCATCTACCCTCTCGGAGAAATTTCATCTACCCTCTTGAGAGAATTTAATCAACCGTCTCGGAGGAATTTATATCCTCTCTAGGGGAATCGCATCTACCCTCTTAGGAGAATTTCACTACCTTCTCGGGGGAATTTTATCTTCCCTCTCGGGGGAATTTCATCCAATCTCTCGGGGAAATTTCATCTACCCGCTCGGGGGACTTCCATCTACCCTCTTGGTAGTAACTCTAGGGGGAATTTCATCTTCCCTCTCGGAGGAATTTCAACTACCCTCTCTGGGGAACCGTATCTACCCTTTCGAGGGAATTTCATCCAATCTCTCAGGGGAATTTCATCTACAGTCTCGAGGGAATTTCATCCACCCTCTCGGGGGAATTTCATCTACCTTCTTGAGGGAATTTAATCAGCCGTGTCGGGGGAATTTCTACCTTCTCTAATGGTGGTAAGCTCCAGCCGGTATTATCCTCGGATTAAATCCCGATCAAGAATGTCCGGCTGGTTTGATGTCGACATCAGAGTTAATCAACATAACTCTGAGCAAACATTTTTCAGATCATACAAACAGGGACGGTATTAAAAGTTAATCCGAGTTGGAGCTTACCGCCATAAGAGAATGGCGTCTACCCTCTTGGGATAATTTCATTACCTTCTCGGGGGAATTTCATCTACCCTCTTGGGGGAATTTTAGCTTCCCTCTCGGGGGAATTTCATCTACCCTCTCGGGGGACTTTCCCTCTCTACCCTCTCGGGAGACTTTTATCTTCCCTCTTGAGGGACTTTCTACCTTCTCGAGGGGAATCGCGTCTACCTTCTCGGGGGAATTTCAACTACCCTCTCGGGGAAATCACATCCACCCTCTCGGGGGAATTTCATCAAGTCTCTCGAGGGAATTTCATCTACCATCTTGGGGGAATTTCATCTTCCCTCTTGGGGGAATTTCATCCACCCTCTTGGGGGAATTTCATCTACCCTCTCGGAGGAATTTCATCTACCCTCTTGAGGGAATTTAATCAACCATCTTGGAGGAATTTCTATCCTCTCTAGGGGAATCGCATCTACCCTCTTGGGAGTATTTCACTATTTTTTCGGGGAAATTTTATCTTCCCTGTCGGGGGAATTTCATCAACCCTCTCGGGTGAATTTCATCTACCCTCTCGGGGGAATTTCATCCACCCTCTCGGGGGACTTTCATCTAACCTTTCGGGGGACTTTTATCTACCCTCTCGAGGGAATTTCTACCTTCTCGAGGGGAATCGCATCTACCCTTTCGGGGGAATTTCAACTACCCTCTCGGGGAAATAGCAATTTTCTCTCAGGAGAATTTTATCCAATCTCTCGAGGGAATTTCATCTACCCTCTCGGGGGAATTTCATCAACTCTCTCGGGTGAATTTCATCTACCTTCTTGGGGGAATTTCATCTACCCTCTCGAGGGACTTTTATCTACCCTCTCGAGGGAATTTCTACCTTCTCGAGGGGAATCGCATCTACCCTCTCGGGAGAATTTTATCTTCCCTCTTGGGGGACTTTCATCTACCCTCTTAAGGGAATTTCTACCTTCTCGAGGGGAATAGCGTCTACCTTCTCGGGGGAATTTCAACTACCCTCTCGGGTGAAATTCATCTACCCTCTTGGGGGAATTTCATCAACCCTCTTGAGGGAATTTAATCAACCGTCTCGGAGGAATTTATATCCTCTCTAGGGGAATCGCATCTACCCTCTTAGGAGAATGTCACTACCTTCTCGGGGGAATTCTATCTTCCCATTCGGGGGAGTTTCATCTTGCCTCTCAGGGGAATTTCATCCAATATCTCGGGGAAATTTCATCTACCCGCTCGGGGGACTTCCATCTACCCTCTTGGCAGTAACTCATTACCCTCTAGGGGGAATTTCATCTTCCCTCTCGGAGGAATTTCAACTACCCTCTCTGGGGAACCGCATCTACCCTCTCCAGGGAATTTCATCTACCTTCTTGAGGGAATTTAATCAGCCGTGTCGGGGGAATTTCTACCCTCTAGGAGAATCGCGTCTACCCTCTTGGGAGAATTTCATTACCTTCTCGGGGGAATGTTATCTTTCCTCTTGGGGGAATTTCATCTACCCTCTTGGGGGAATTTTATCTTCCCTCTCGGGGGACTTTCATCTACCCTCTTAAGGGAATTTCTACCTTCTCGAGGGAATCGCGTCTACCTTCTCGGGGGAATATAATCTACCCCCTCGGGAGAATTTTATTTCCCTCTTGGGGGAATTTCATCTACCCTCTCGGGGGACTTTCATCTACCCTCTCGAGGGAATTTCTACCTTTTTCGAGGGGAATCGAATCTACCCTCTTGGAAGAATTTCATCTACCTTCTCGGGGGACTTTTATCTTCCCTCTCGGGGGTTAGCAAATGACACTTATCTACCATTTGTTATGCGTCACTGATAGATTGTTCGGGTTTCTTCCAATGTTCTTCAGAAGTTTCTATAAACAATCTTCTGAAGTATTTTCCGAAATACACTGGACACCTGCAGAAGTGTTCAATGTTTCCTTTTTCACGCCTTTTGACTTCCCCCGAAAGACTCTGTGCGGTGTCGACTACTGGGGACCGTTCTACATCAAGTCAGCAGTTCGAAAGCGTGGTCCTTCAAAAATCTACGTAGCCATATTCGTCTGCTTCTCAAATAGTCTCCAGAATATTAATTTTTCAATTTGGTTTATGAAATGGGAACCCCAGTGGTTTCTATTATTTTAGGACTAGTGTTGGTGGCAAAAATCCGGTCAGTCAGTGCCGTCGCCGCGCCGTCCTTGTAAGCAAAAATGTCGATATATGCGAAATAAAACACATTTTGTGTTTTGCCTATCTAAATGACTCATATTCGTAAGGTCTGCGGTGAGTACGAACGGATACAATCGGAAGTTCATCAGGAAGTTATACAACGTATCCTGCACGATGGGTCCGATCGCCAACAGGTCGTTGAGTGACAGTCCGTTCGATGATTTCTTTGCTGCATTGAACACCATTCGAAGCTTCGTAGTGGAGCTTTCAGCCTTGATGACGCCGTGATACGCCAGGTAAATGATCTTCGGGTGATTTGGATCGGGTGCAACCCTCGTGATGTGGTTGTTTGCAAGGAACTCTTCCACGTACTTGTGGTAGAGTACGTACTTTTCCGGATCCCGCTGCAGTTGCCGTTGCATTGCCGTAAACTGTGCCAACACGGAGTAGCCGGTTTCTCCAATCGCTGTAGGATCGCGGATGAACGGCAGTTTCACTATGTAGCGTCCGCTGGCATTGCGCACCGTAGTCTTAGTGTAGAGCTCCTCGCAGAACTGCTCCTCCTTCGTTAGATGCTGACTGGGATTGAAATCTTCGATCTCCCAGAACTTAGAGACTAGTTGGGTCAACATGCGACACAAAGCGCAGTGGAGCTTGTAGTGCGGAGTTTTTTGACTCGTATAAACCAGCTACCACCCAGCCTAAAGCCGTTTCTTGCAGCACCGGCTTGGCAAGCATCCAGCGGCATGCGATCGGAATGCAGAAGGTTGTAGAATACGCTGGTTCCAAGTAGTAGATCCACTTCGCCGGGAATGTTGAATCGATCGTCTGCCAGCGGCTTGCTGGGATGATGTTCCCAGTCGGAAATGTCGGCGAATTGGTGTGGAATCGGATCCGATGTTTTTGGCAGCGCTGCACAGTCTATACGGACCTCGTAATCCGAAGTTCTCGATTGCATGTCGACTTCGATGGCCTCGGTGATCTTCGTTGTCAACCCAGAAATTCCTTTGAGCGGCAGGTTGATTCGGTGCGGTTTCAGTCCCAGCCTCTTTGACAGCTTGGCCTTTGAAGTTGGCTTGCGACGCAGAATTTAACAATGCACAGGCGCTGTGTTGCTGCCCACTGGAATCGACGAGATTGACTACTGCAGTTGCAAGGAATACCGACGCGAAACAATCACCGTAGGGAAGTTGATCGATAACTTCGAACGAGAGCTGACTACCCTTCGCCGGAACGAAGTCCAACGACGGTCCCTTGTGGAGCAGAGTGTGATGACGTTGCTTGCACTTGCGACAATCCCCAGCGGTACAAGACGCTTTATCGTGGTATGTACACAAACAGTTCTTGCAAAGACCCAGTTGATTAACCAAACGGATTCGCTCGGCGACTGGGATTTCCTGGAACCTTTTGCAGTAGTATAGCCGGTGCGGAGCTTCGTTGCAGACAGAGCACTTGGATGGATTTTTAGTTTGTTCGTTGGTCTTGTTACTAGCCTCATAGTGGACTTTGGAGTGTGAGCTTGGGCGGTTTCCAGCAAATAAGTGCGTTGTTCGAGAAACTCTAAGAATTCCTCGAATTCGGGTGTATCCTGGTTCGTGGCGATCTTGTCTGACCACTGGAGAAGGTGGACTAGCCAGCAGTCTCGGTCCTCACGTTCAATGGCCTGCAAATCTCGCTTGACATCGTCGGCGGTTTCGTTTAGCTTGCGTAGACCGGAAACTGACGGCACGGTGGTAATCGGAATCTCGCAGAGCCGTTGAATATGGTGATTTACGATTTGGTCCTTCCGATCGAAGTGTTTCTTGAGAATGTCCAAGGTTCTTGACCTTGATGTACTTTAGAAGGGCGGCTGCTCTTCCCGTTGTGTAGGTTTTCAGATCGAACAACCGTTGAGCGTTCGTCAGACGAGGATTGTTGTGTACGGAGCTGATGAACAAATCGTAGAATGAATTTCACTCCCCGTAGTCTCCCGAGAATGTGGGAAGAATTCCTTTCGGGAGGTGTAGCTCGGGGGGAACTAGCGTAGCGGGAATCATGCTAGCGCTGCGGGAATCATGCTCTGTCCACCGACCGACGGCGGAGTTGGATTGTCTCGAATGGCCACCGTTCGTACGGTCTGGTTGATCGATGCCTTTAGAGAAAGGTAACGCCTTTCCAGAGCCGCTTCCTCGTCGAGATGAGGCTCGATGGATTCGGTATCCGTGCACAAATCCAGAATACCACTATGCACTTCACGGAAATCCTGCCAAACTAGGTGCAGGTGGTCGAGTTCAGCGTTGAGGTCGTCGATGGAGACCGCTCCGGCATCGAACTTGCTGACCCTGTAAGCCGAGCGTTTCAGCTTTCCATCTACTGCAGATCGTCGTAGCTTCAGTTGGTCCATGGTGTATGAAGTGGACATCCTGTCTACAGCGCCAAATGTTAACGCAGTGACCTAATTTGTCAACGTATAATTTTAGGTCCCTGGGTGGTAAAGGTTAACTTTTTATGTTCACCTTGCAACGTCGGTACACTGACTTGAATACAACTCACTAGGCTACGGCAACGGTTCACTGGCACTGGATTCTGGTTCGATGTTAAGTAATAACGCGTTGAATGATGGCTTGAAAGATATATTTCACGTTGAGAGATAGTTTGCATGCAAGTTTTGAGTGTTTGACCCTAAGAGAAGAGGTGACAGTACGGGGGCGACAATGAACCACTTTTCTGTCAAACGTGAACCAGCTCCTGATTGGCCGATTTCAAGTACGTAAGATAGAGATAGAGATAGAAATAAAAGAGGAAGAAGCCAATTGTCACCTGTTGCTCTTAGGTTTGACCGAGAGTGAACTCATTGTTAACTCATGTAACTCAGTCGATATTCATCTTAATTTACTACTAAGGCTTGTACTCGAAAAAAATGCACCATTTTTATCCGTGCGTAACTTTTTTATCCGTGGGTAAAAATTGATGAAAATCTGGGTATAACTAGTTTGGAGCGAATTGTTTACATGTGCAAAATTTCATAACAATCGGTTCAGTGGTTATTGAGATGTCATCGAAACAAGAAGAAAATCGCCGGAGAATTTTGCGCGCCGTCATGAAAAATCCGACTGCGACCATGAGATGGATCGGAAGACAACTGGGAATCACCCATACAACTGTGTCTCGGGTGGTAAAATCGTTTAAGGAGTCCCAGACGACCGAGCGGCGGGTTGGAAGTGGAAGAAAATCGAAGACAGCTGACCCTGTGGAGGCCCGGAAGGTGTTGGATTATTTCAAGCAAAATCCGAACCTTTCGATTCGCGACGCGGCACTGAAGGCAAAGTGTTCCACCTGGTTCGTTCAGCAAACCATGAAACGAGCTGGGCTTCGTGTATTCAAGGTCCGGAAGGCACCGAACCGGCATGATCAACAAAACACGGCGGCCAAATCCCGCGCAAGGAAGCTGTATCGAGAGTGGTTAACGAAACCGATGTGTGTGGTTATGGATGACGAAACCTACATCATGGCAGACGCAAAGCAGATACCAGGGCTGGAGTTCTACGTTGCCAAATCACGGTTTGATGTTCCGGAAGACATAAGGAAGAAGAAAGTGGACAAATTCGCCAAAAAATACTTGCTCTGGCAGGCCATATGCCAATGCGGTAAACTGATTAAACCGTACATCACAATGGGTACCATCAACAGCGAAATTTACCGCACCGAGTGCCTCCAGAAGCGTCTGTTGCCCTACCTGCGGTCCCATGAAGGTGAGACATTATTTTGGCCGGACCTGGCATCATGCCATTACGCGCGATCGAAGTTGGATTGGTACATTGATTTTTGTACCAAAAACCGCCAACAACCCAAATTCACCAGAGATTCGTCCGGTGGAAATATTTTGGGCCACAATGAAGGCCAAAGTTCGAAAATCGTCCAAGGTGCTTAAGAACGAGCTGAAGTTGAAGAAAGAATGGATTAAAGTGACCAAAAAGGTTGGCTCCACCATTCCACAAAATGTTATGAGGGGTCTTAAGGGAAAGGTGCGGGCTTTCAGCGATGGAAAGGAAATTGCATAAAGTAATTATGCCGAAACATAATCCATATGTATTAGTTCATTCCCTGAAAGTTTCAAGAAAATCCTACTTAAAATAAATTTTTGGCGAACACTTTTGTCTGGTGCATTTTTTTTTTTCGAGTACAGGCCTTACTACACTACTACTGCTGTCAACTCAGCAGAATCAAAACAAACCTAATTTTCTGCTGCTGCAGTCGCTTGGTAGTAAGACTAATTAACTATTGATTTTTTTAGCATTAATTGATTAATCATTTTAATTCGTTTCACGTTGAATGTATTCATCTTTGGTTCTACGGTATCACCAAACAAACCTTACCTTTGATAGTACCGTAATATATTAATTAAAATTAATTGAAAACAAATCACCGAACAATTGATTTACCATGTTGTAAGCATTCGTCGTCGAGCAGCCACGCCCCCAACCCCACTCTGTCCAAAGCATGCATCAAATAAATAATTCGATCATGTCAAGTGGAACAAAGAGCGGAAAGCAATCATTATTCGAACCTTTCCCCCAAGAACAAAGAGAGTTAGATCTTTTACGTACCTCGCTCACTCGCTGCACCCTCGTCCGTCGCCCATATGCTTGCTCTATTGTGTCTGTTAGAAAATGCACAAAAGAGCTCACGCTGAATGCCTCGAATGCTTTGATTGCACTTACACGACGGAGCCGCATGGGCTGCTCGGTGTGGATTTGGCAGCAGGAATTTTAATGGAATGTTTACTCAACCGTTATTGATACAATTTCAATAACTTTTTAGCCAATTGCAAATTTCACTTTTGTGTTTGATTTTACTATACCATACGTACTCGAAATTCATTACTGTTAATGGCTAAAATTGAAACTTGTCTGCATGTGTTGGTGTGTGTGAATTTTGAAGCATAAGCTTATGAGCTTGTGACCGGGATCAAAAATCGAAAATATATGAAGAGATAAAGAGATCGTACTTTTCAGTAGGTTAGCTTCATGCAAGGGACGTATTTAAGCTAATGGGGGCACGGCGCCAAACATTTAAGGGGACCTATAGAGTGCACCAAAGTCGATTTTAATAGTCATTTATATTCATAATCGTTAAGGAAAACTTTTTTTTTTTAATTTCCTGCATCTTAGATAGAGTCGTCCCCCTCCGTCATGTGTCTAGTTGTGTATGCTTTTTTAAAAACTATCAATGAGAATTTCGAACAATTGGTTGAGAAACTAGAATGGAGATCATTTGATATCGAGTTGACATTATCTAAATGAAACATGGTTCTTTGTTTTGATATTAAGATTTCTAAAACTTGTGAGGGCCCCTAAAATGTGCTGGACCCGGGTTTGTGGCCCCCACCGTAAGTCTGGGCCTGGCTTAATAGAAGCCATAATTTTGCTGAATCGAGAGCCTCTTGTTGGTTAGAAACTTTTATTATTTAAATTGATTGGGTAAACATTGATGAAGAGCTTCAATTTATGGCACTTTGAGATTGATGAAAATCGGTGCATGGAATGCAGCTGGATTGAAAAGTTTGATTCGAAGAAAGTTGATAAACTGTTGATATAAAGCTAGGTTAAAGGACATCAAATATAGGCATTTTATAACAAACATTTAAATCTTAACTAATAAAGACGCTGCATCATAGAAGATGAAATATACTATTTCATATTACATTGTTCCTCCTTTTAATTCTACTACTATGTCTATGACTACACACTTAAAAAAAATCATGTAAATTAAGGTGCTCTGAGAAAGACATCTACGAGCGTCAATTTTGACATAAATTTGAGTCATAACAGACGCGAATTATAGCTCAATCAAACGTACTTTTCGTCGAGCAACGAACTTTTCAGTCTCGGAGCACTTAATATTACATGACATGTTTGTTTACGTCTCATCTTTCATGTCAAAGATGGATTCCGTCACGTTTAAAACTAGTTATTTCTA